CACAGGAGGCAATTCAAGTGTAACTATCGATTTTATTTCTCAACAGAAATCTGATATAACTGTCAAAATAATATGCGTCAAGGCTAGATGGAAGTACATGGGTATTATATTATTCTCCATCCTTTTCCGTATGCTTAAAATATTTTATGACAGTAAAGTTTTAAAATTTTTACAGTAAAATACACTTGAAGGAGACTGCTACTTCTCCCCCTGCCTTACTAATACAGTTCCAGTATGGTAAAAGTGAATGCCACATGTTCATCCAAAGTTTCTAGCGTAGACTTTTGTTTCTCTCTCTCTTTCTATTAACAGTTTTACTGGAAATTAAACCAATGGGGATTAATAATCTAATTGATGTTTCTTTAGTACTTTGGATTTCATGAAGCAATTTCCTATAGCTTCTGAGAGTTGTATGGCTTATTTTTTTAATCACATTCGGAGAAACTCAGTCAATCTAGCTGAAGGATTAGAGAAACGACTGTAGTTCTGCTCTCTCAAATTATTATTTTAAATAAAATGGTTCCCTTCTTTGGGAACCTATTATACTCAAAGACAAGGTGTTGGGCTAGGTGTTCTCTTTAGATTTCTACTAGTTTTAGTGTTCTAGGACTCTAACTCAGAATCTTTCTTCTGTTGGATTGTTAGTTCTTTGAAACTAAGCAGTGTGCTCTAAATGCTTTGCCCGTTGTAATACCCAGAATAATGCAGTTGATTATTATGTGTTAAAAATTAATTGAAAGAATGGTCCACACAACTTTGAATCTCATGGTACAGTTTCCACAGATGCCTGTATTTGTACTGTGTTGGTTAATAACATGGCCCTTTCTTTTCCATGTTTAGTGACTTAGAATCGAGAAGAGAAGTAAAAAAAGAAGAAGGTGAAGCTTTTGCACGAGAACATGGACTTATCTTTATGGAGACGTCTGCTAAGACTGCTTCCAATGTAGAAGAGGTAAATAAGAGGTCTTTTTAAATGTTTATCATCTTTTTACTTAATAGAAATGTTTTATATACTTAATATTTATTGGTATATCTTCCATAAGCTTTTTTGTCAATGATAGTCTTTAAATATCATAAAGTAGGAAAATTTCTTCCCTGTGAAATGCCTTGTGACATTCATCTTCTATCAGACTCTTAAATTATATTTGAGCCTTCTCCTGAAGCCAAAATGCTTTAACACATCTTTGTATATGTTTTCCCTAAAATCTTTTTTATGTTGCATGAGAGGGAAAAAAAGAACACTAATGAAATTTGGAAGTGTTTCAAGACACTAAACATTTGTAGCGATTTGTATTCACTCTGCTTAAATAGGGAAAGTATTATATTATTGCTATGTAACATTATACAAAGCATGAGAATTCTGCCATCTTTAATAGATAAAATTTGCTATATCTCAGTTATTTCCATTGATCAACCTGACATGTTGGAAGTTTTCTGATCACATCGTGTTCTTTTATGCTTTATGTGTTTGGATGTGGTATTTATATACGACACATCAATGAGTAGACAGTTAATCCTCTCTAAGGTAAATGTATAACTACACTGTGTTTTATAAAAAAGCAGAAATGAGGCTAAGAAAGTAGTTTGCCCAGAGTATTGCTGTAGTTCCCACCTTCTGGATAAAAATCTTAAAAGCAGCTGCAGAAAGGGATTCTAGAAAACAAATGATTAAAGAATCTCATCGTTGTAAGGATAGCAGAGGATGAGGTGCTAGGCAGCAGCTAGCACTGTGCCTTCAACATAGTAAACAATAAGTAAATATTTATTAAGAATGATACTGGGAGCTCTTCTAATTAACCCTTGAACCCAGAAATTGACTACGGTAATTCAACAGCATTGATATTTTCACTGAAGAATTCTTTCTTAGGTAAAATATTATACTTATCTCTACTTGATGAGGTGCTCTGGGATTGTCTTTAATGCATTT